AAGCGATTTGGCATTAGTCAGAGTTTCTACTGTTAAGCTATCAACACACAGCAGAGAAAGGAAATTTTAATGTATTATACATGTGATGTATACAAACACCAGTAGCCAGTAGCACTCAATTCATAACTGAATAGCAATGCATTAATAGCAAGAGCAGCCACTGCGATATATATATATATATATATATATATATATATATATATATATATATATATATATATAGTTGTTGACAGAAGTTCTTGCTGAGTATTGGGGTGCTCATCAACATTTCCTTCTGTGTGAAATAAGTCCTATGTTGTATCTGAAGAGACATCCATAGCCACTGCATGGTAGTGTAGGAGGGTTCAGGAGATTGAGTGCTCTGGCTTTTCTTTGAACTCTCTTCGTCTCTTCTGTTTGTCTTCTGATGATTTCAAAATATGTTATTTTTTCTCATGGAGTGCTCGATTTCTCTCCTCAGTTATAATAGCCTAGAAGATTAAAGCATTGGTTCATAAATTTGGTGACATAGTGATTGTGAGATCAATCCCTGAGCCAGGCAGTGTGTACTTGGACTCAGTTGAAATGGGCAAACAGTCTACCCATGTAGATTAAATAAAGGGTTCACTTCAAAATTCCCTATAGGTTACTCAGATCAATATATACCTGATGAAGGTCAGTGGGCACAACAGACTAAACATTGTGATAACAACAACAAAGATAAGGACAATAGTCTGATTATAAATAATGATAATAATATAGGTGGGGGTGGGGTTTATACTTTGAAGTGTTTCTCCGAAGACAACTTGATTTTGTTTCTTTTAATTTTCCACCACTACTACTTCATAATCATTGCATATATAAAACATTTTTATGATCTGAATACGTCAGTTGGCAGTTGACCTTGAGCTGATCTAAATTTAAATGGACAATGGTCAAATATGTAGGAAGAACATTTAAAGACAGTAATTCATTCAGCTTGAATTGGTGACCTCGGCCAGAATGAATTTGTTTTTAATGTTACCGTGAGAAATAAATGAAAGAGAATTCTCTATTGTTTTATCATCAAATGAAAGATATATTTTTTTTATTTTTTTACAAATATTCACTCAGTACGAGGCTCAAGAGCCACTCAAAGTAGAGGGTTACTGTGTGAAGTTTAATTTAGGAAAGGATATGTGGTCGGATTATAAAGCTGAAGTAGACTTTACAAGGAACCAGAAACCAAACAGGAAACAAGAGATAAAACTCTACACTTGTTTAAAAGACTGGTTTGGTTTGTTTTATGGCATATCAACTTCAATGGATCATTTAATGCCGACAACTTTTTTTTTTCCTGCTAATATTTTTGTTTTGTCAAAAATCTATTTCTGTTAATATTTTTTTCCTCAAAAATGTATATCTGGTAATATTATTTTTTCTAAAATGCACAGATTATTCCAAAAACATAGAGCCGACAACACTATTCTTTCAAAAAACGTGTAGATGGTAATATTATTTTTTCAAAAACGTATTATCAGAGGCTTGCTGCTGGATGTAGTTCATTGTCATACCCAGGACATGGATGTAGTTTATCTTCATACCCAGGACATGGATGTAGTCTATTGTCATACCCAGGATGCGGATGTAGTTTATCGCCATACCCAGGACACTTAAAAGACTGGGGAGGAGTGTGGACCAAAAGGTAGTTGAACTTATCTACTCCTAGATTTAATAGAAACAGGTTTTTTTTATATCAGTACAATTACAAGCTTTTACTAAATATTTATAGATATTAACAAAAATGGCAATGTAAAAGTGCTACAAGATTGGCCTGAGTAGAAATAGTGTCTAATAGAATTATTTTTTTCTTTTTTAACACTATCATTCACCCAATACAAATCCCCAAACATGGAGGGTGTTATTAAATAGGGTTGTTTTATGAATGCAATAATTTTAGATTATAAGAATATAAGAATTTTAGATTATAAGAATATAAGAATTTTAGATTATAAGAATATGCAGAAAAGATTTTGATCTTTCCTGCATATCCTTAAAAAAATCTACAAAAGATTCAACTGTTCAGTGAATTTTCCATTGGCTGGTAAAACAGATAGTTACTACAAGAAGATACCAAATGAATTATCAAAAATAGTTCAACATCTTGTGGCATCTACTACTACCATTGAATTTGCCAGTCACATACAGACCTAATCAGCCATCAAAAACCATGAAAAAATTATATATATTTGTATAGTTTAAAATTTGCTATATTTATAAAGGAAGGGTGTTTAGTATTGGATATAGAATAATTATAGATATGGTCAGTGGAGACATTGGAAACAACACTGTATTGTCAGAAGTCTGACTACTGCTCTCAGGCATGAAATTAACAGTCCCTTCTCTCTATACCCCTCTTTATATATATTACTAGACTCTCCCATCATTTTCAACATGAGGGTCAAGCAGCTCAGTTCTTGGAACCAACAGCCAGACTATCTGCACATATCATTTGATTATAAGTGATGAAGCCTTGTGCAGAACCAACTACTCTTTTTAGAAGAGCTGAAACTGCTACACAGTGTACCACAAAGTCCCCAAATGACACTCCTTGGGTTTTGAATTCAAAATCATCCTTCCCCTAGACCCTTCACCACTCAAGGCTATACAGTCCAATCTGTTCTGCTATTTATCCATAGCTGGGGGGAGGAGAGACCTGATTCCTCAATCTAAGATGCTATTCAATATGCTTACAATTCAGTAAAACCTAACAAACTATTTGACATTACTAGAATTTAATAAATTTCAAAGTGAGCAGAATTTTTGCCAATAAAGTGGTCAATAGAAAAATAGAGTGAGAATTTTCTGTAGATTAATAAAAGTTCAATTGAGTTACGTTTTGATTGAACTTTTATTAATTAACTGATTATCTCTTCCTCTGTGTATATATATATATATATATATATATATATATTAATGCATGTTTCATTAAATAATATAGACAAGTTTTGTATATTTATTTCAAGTAATTTCCTTTCATATTGTCTGATAAGCTTAATAACATTATCATTGAAAGACGAAAGGAAATCACCATATTGATACATGTTTAAATCCAATCTAAGGTTTCGGTTTACATAAGCCATTATCAAAGATGAAAATTACTATTCAATATATCAACCAATACACAGAACAATAATGATAGTCTGTTTTTGTTGCATGAAAAATTTCAAAGCAATGACTAATTAGTGTATACGAGATGCAGAAACAAAAATCGTGTCGCAGCTCATGACGTCACACATGACCATACGATAGTGAATACAAGAAGTATTAAGCATGGGAAGCAATTGGTATAAACCAATGGCTTCTGTTACAAATTATAGGCATTTAAGAATATTTGTGGCGATTTCGTAGTTTATTTTGTTCAGGTTAGGTTTCAACTGTTTTATGTATATAGCTTCAAGAATTTTTAGTTTTTGTTTATTGTTTTCATGTTTAAGTATAGTTGTGTTTTCAACAAGGATTTTCCAGGATTGTGTACACCGCCAGGCATGTTGTTTTCAATGCCTAAAAATGTTAGAGTTATCATTCAAATGTAGAGTCAAGCATCGTGAAAGCGAGTTTGTGGTGTGACCAATATAAAATACATATACATATATATATATATATATATATATATATATATATATATATAAACACACAATTGGAAAGAAGAGGGGTTTTTTTCTGCTTGATACAGACACAAAACACAGCTTTCTTTTACAGCTATCAGATCTAGTATGCATAGTTACTGATCCAAGGAAAGGTTTTAACTTTTACAAAATGGTTTATCATGATAAAATGAGGCCTCTACTGTTTTCCACTATTCTGAAATATCTTTTATAATAATAATCACTGTTTGGTGTAAGACTATAATTTTCCTTTTATTATTAATTTCCACAAGAAAAAAATTGTGTTTCCACTGAAAAAATTTTCCTCAAAACTATATTTTCTACTTTTTATAGTATCTCTTTGCTGGAATCTTATCTGAAATAAATGAAACCTATTTTGTTTTTCTTTTATGCTATTAATTGCTTTATGCAGTTACTGTACATGACAAGTATAACTAAAAATAAACCTTGATTCATGTGAATGATGACAATATAACAAATTATTATTGACAAAGATCGGAAAATAAGCATTTCCTTTTTTTTGGCATAGATATTAAGTTATGTCAGTATTACTTTTCTGAAATCCTATAACCAGTAGTTTGAGTCTTAGCCATTCACCATCACAATAAGAACAAATTGTTTAACCTTCATAAGAAACTGATGGGAAAGAAATCCTAACCACTTAGCTGATAAGTAAGGTCAACACAATTATCAATTTTTTTTTTTATGTGGAAAGCACCCTACACACACATATGCATATGGGTAAAGAACAAAAATTTTTACTATTGATATAATACACTGACCACACTTCTTTTATTACAATAAGGATGGTACTGCCACAGGATTGGAACCTCTGGGACGGAACGCTTTTTCCTATTTAAAATGCAGAGAAACATTTACTGTAATTCTGCCCAAAACAAACTCCTTACCTGATAGCATTTACAAACTTTCTCCACTGAGACAGGATGTGACACAAGGTTGAGGCTAATGTGGAGAACCCAATCGCATACCCCCAGGCCAAGGACAAAAATTTCCCAGCCCTTACAACCATTCCTGGCATCATATGACTACCGACCCACACCAATGAAGTGGGTACAGCCATGGGCACCTTGATGTATTTATTTTCCCCAGCTGCATTTCTGTCCACGGACAGAGACACAGCTGAGTTGCACTGTGGTCAAAGACAGAGCCACAGCTGAGTCACACTCTGGCCAAAGACAGAGCCAAAGCTGTCGCACTCTGGATGGAGACAGAGACACAGCTCAGTTGTACTCTGGATGGAGACACAGAGTCACACTCTGGCCAAAGACTCAGTTGTACTCTGGATGGGACAGAGACACAGCCTCAGTTGCACTCTGGCCAGAGACATAGCTCAGTTGCACTCTGGATAAAGACAAAGACACAGCTGAGTCACACTCTGGCCAAAGACAGAGCCAAAGCTGTCGCACTCTGGATGGAGACAGAGACACAGCTCAGTTGTACTCTGGCCAGAGACATAGCTCAGTTGCACTCTGGATAAAGACAAAGACACAAAGACAGAGCCACAGTCACACTCTGGCCAAAGACAGCTCAAGCCCACAGCTCAGTTGCACTCTGGATAAAGACAAAGACACAGCTGGGCACCTCTGGCCAAAGACAGGATGATGGAGACAGAGACACAGCTCAGTTGTACTCTGGCCAGAGACATAGCTCAGTTGCACTCTGGATAAAGACAAAGACACAGCTGGGTCACACTCTGGCCAAAGACAGAGCCACAGCTGTCACTCTGGCACTCTGGATGGAGACAGAGACACAGCTCAGTTGTACTCTGGCCAGAGACATAGCTCAGTTGCACTCTGGATAAAGACAAAGACACAGCTGGGTCACACTCTGGCCAAAGACAGAGCCACAGCTGAGTCGCACTCTGGATGGAGACAGAGACACAGCTCAGTTGTACTCTGGCCAGAGACATAGCTCAGTTGCACTCTGGATAAAAGAAAAAAGACACAGCTGGGTCACACTCTGGCCAAAGACAGAGCCACAGCTGAGTCGCACTCTGGATGGAGACAGAGACACAGCTCAGTTGTACTCTGGCCAGAGACATAGCTCAGTTGCACTCTGGATAAAGAAAAGACACAAAGACACAGCTGGCCAAAGACAGAGCCAGCTCTGGCCTGGATGGAGACAGAGACACACAGCTGAGACATCACACTCTGGATGGAGACAGAGACAGAGCCACAGCTCACTCTGATGGAGACAGAGACACAGCTCAGTTGTACTCTGGCCAGAGACATAGCTCAGTTGCACTCTGGATAAAGACAAAGACACAGCTGGGTCACACTCTGGCCAAAGACAGAGCCACAGCTGAGTCACACTCTGGATGGAGACAGAGACACAGCTCAGTTGTACTCTGGCCAGAGACATAGCTCAGTTGCACTCTGGATAAAGACAAAGACACAGCTGGGTCACACTCTGGCCAAAGACAGAGCCACAGCTGAGTCGCACTCTGGATGGAGACAGAGACACAGCTCAGTGGAGACAGGACACAGCTCAGTTGTACTCTCTGGCCAGAGACATAGCTCAGTTGCACTCTGGATAAAGACAAAGACACAGCTGAGTCACACTCTGGCCAAAGACAGAGCCAAAGCTGTCACACTCTGGATGGAGACAGAGACACAGCTCAGTTGTACTCTGGCCAGAGACATAGCTCAGTTGCACTCTGGATAAAGACAAAGACACAGCTGGGTCACACTCTGGCCAAAGACAGAGCCACAGCTGAGTCACACTCTGGATGGAGACAGAGACACAGCTCAGTTGTACTCTGGCCAGAGACATAGCTCAGTTGCACTCTGGATAAAGACAAAGACACAGCTGGGTCACACTCTGGCCAAAGACAGAGCCACAGCTGAGTCGCACTCTGGATGGAGACAGAGACACAGCTCAGTTGTACTCTGGCCAGAGACATAGCTCAGTTGCACTCTGGATAAAGACAAAGACACAGCTGGGTCACACTCTGGCCAAAGACAGAGCCACAGCTGAGTCACACTCTGGATGGAGACAGAGACACAGCTCAGTTGTACTCTGGCCAGAGACATAGCTCAGTTGCACTCTGGATAAAGACAAAGACACAGCTGGGTCACCTCTGGCCAAAGACAGAGCCACAGCTGAGTCACACTCTGGATGGAGACAGACACACAGCTCAGTTGTACTCTGGCCAGAGACATAGCTCAGTTGCACTCTGGATAAAGACAAAGACACAGCTGGGTCAGCCACTCTGGCCAAAGACAGAGCCACAGCTGAGTCACACTCTGGATGGAGACAGAGACACAGCTCAGTTGTACTCTGGCCAGAGACATAGCTCAGTTGCACTCTGGATAAAGACAAAGACACAGCTGGGTCACACTCTGGCCAAAGACAGAGCCACAGCTGAGTCACACTCTGGATGGAGACAGAGACACAGCTCAGTTGTACTCTGGGCCAGAGACATAGCTCAGTTGCACTCTGGATAAAGACAAAGACACAGCTGGGTCACACTCTGGCCAAAGACAGAGCCACAGCTGAGTCACACTCTGGATGGAGACAGAGACACAGCTCAGTTGTACTCTGGCCAGAGACATAGCTCAGTTGCACTCTGGATAAAGACAAAGACACAGCTGGGTCGCACTCTGGCCAAAGACAGAGCCACAGCTGAGTCACACTCTGGATGACAGAGACACAGCTCAGACTCTGGCCAGAGACATAGCTCAGTTGCACTCTGGATAAAGACAAAGACACAGCTGGGTCACACTCTGGCCAAAGACAGAGCCACAGCTGCGCACTCTGGATGGAGACAGAGACACAGCTCAGTTGTACTCTGGCCAGAGACATAGCTCAGTTGCACTCTGGATAAAGACAAAGACACAGCTGGGTCACACTCTGGCCAAAGACAGAGCCACAGCTGAGTCACACTCTGGATGGAGACAGAGACACAGCTCAGTTGTACTCTGGCCAGAGACATAGCTCAGTTGCACTCTGGATAAAGACAAAAGACACAGCTGGGTCACACTCTGGCCAAAGACAGAGCCACAGCTGAGTCGCACTCTGGATGGAGACAGAGACACAGCTCAGTTGTACTCTGGCCAGAGACATAGCTCAGTTGCACTCTGGATAAAGACAAAGACACAGCTGGGTCACACTCTGGCCAAAGACAGAGCCACAGCTGAGTCGCACTCTGGATGGAGACAGAGACACAGCTCAGTTGTACTCTGGCCAGAGACATAGCTCAGTTGCACTCTGGATAAAGACAAAGACACAGCTGAGTCACACTCTGGCCAAAGACAGAGCCACAGCTGTCACACTCTGGATGGAGACAGAGACACAGCTCAGTTGTACTCTGGCCAGAGACATAGCTCAGTTGCACTCTGGATAAAGACAAAGACACAGCTGGGTCACACTCTGGCCAAAGACAGAGCCACAGCTGAGTCACACTCTGGATGGAGACAGAGACACAGCTCACTCTGGCCAGAGACATAGCTCAGTTGCACTCTGGATAAAGACAAAGACACAGCTGGGTCACTGGCCAAAGACAGAGCCACAGCTGAGTCAAAGACAGAGCCACAGCTCAGTTGTCAGAGACACTCTGGATGGAGACAGAGTCACACAGCCAAAGACAGAGCCACAGTTGTACTCTGGATGGAGACAGAGACACAGCTCAGTTGCACTCTGGATAAAGACAAAGACACAGACACTGGGTCACACTCTGGCCAAAGACAGAGCCACAGCTGAGTCACACTCTGGATGGAGACAGAGACACAGCCTGTTGTACTCTGGCCAGAGACATAGCTCAGTTGCACTCTGGACAAAAAGACACAGCTGGGAGACAGAGACTCCTGGCCAAAGACAGAGCCACAGCTGAGTCAGACACAGCTGGCACTCTGGATGGAGACAGAGACACAGCTCTGTTGTACCACAGAGACATAGCTCAGTTGCACTCTGGGATAAAGACAAAGACACAGCAGTTGGGACGCAGCTCAGTTGCACTCTGGCCAAAGACAGAGCCACAGCTGAGTCGCACTCTGGATGGAGACAGAGACACAGCTCAGTTGTACTCTGGCCAGAGACATAGCTCAGTTGCACTCTGGATAAAGACAAAGACACAGCTGGGTCACACTCTGGCCAAAGACAGAGCCACAGCTGAGTCACACTCTGGATGGAGACAGAGACACAGCTCAGTTGTACTCTGGCCAGAGACATAGCCAGAGACTCTGGATAAAGACTCAGTTGCACTCTGGAAAGACAAAGACTGGATGGAAAGACACAGCTGGGCTCAGTTGCACTCTGGATGGCCAAAGACAGAGCCAAAGACAGAGTCACACTCTGGATGGAGACAGAGACACAGCTCAGTTGTACTCTGGCCAGAGACATAGCTCAGTTGCACTCTGGATAAAGACAAAGACACAGCTGGGTCACACTCTGGCCAAAGACAGAGCCACAGCTGAGTCACACTCTGGATGGAGACAGAGACACAGCTCAGTTGTACTCTGGCCAGAGACATAGCTCAGTTGCACTCTGGATAAAGACAAAGACACAGCTGGGTCACACTCTGGCCAAAGACAGAGCCACAGCTGAGTCGCACTCTGGATGGAGACAGAGACACAGCTCAGTTGTACTCTGGCCAGAGACATAGCTCAGTTGCACTCTGGATAAAGACAAAGACACAGCTGGGTCACACTCTGGCCAAAGACAGAGCCACAGCTGAGTCGCACTCTGGATGGAGACAGAGACACAGCTCAGTTGTACTCTGGCCAGAGACATAGCTCAGTTGCACTCTGGATAAAGACAAAGACACAGCTGGGTCACACTCTGGCCAAAGACAGAGCCACAGCTGAGTCACACTCTGATGGAGACAGAGACACAGCTCAGTTGTACTCTGGCCAGAGACATAGCTCAGTTGCACTCTGATAAAGACAAAAGACACAGCTGGGTCACACTCTGGCACACTCTGGATGGAGACAGAGCCACAGCTGAGCTCAGTTGCACTCTGGATGGAGACAGAGACACAGCTCAGTTGTACTCTGGCCAAAGACAGAGACATAGCACTCTGGATGGAGACAGAGTTGCACAGTTGATAAAGACTCTGGATAAAGACAAAGACACAGCTGGGTCGCACTCTGGCCAAAAGACAGAGCCACAGCTGAGTCACACTCTGGATGGAGACAGAGACACAGCTCAGTTGTACTCTGGCCAGAGACATAGCTCAGTTGCACTCTGGAAAGACAAAGACACAGCTGGGTCACACTCTGGCCAAAGACAGAGCCACAGCTGAGTCACACTCTGGATGGAGACAGAGACACAGCTCAGTTGTACTCTGGCCAGAGACATAGCTCAGTTGCACTCTGGATAAAGACAAAGACACAGCTGGGTCACACTCTGGATGGCCAAAGACAGAGCCACAGCTGAGTCGCACTCTGGATGGAGACAGAGACACAGCTCAGTTGTACTCTGGCCAGAGACATAGCTCAGTTGCACTCTGGATAAAGACAAAGACACAGCTGGGTCACTCTCTGGGTAAAGACAGAGCCACAGCTGAGTCACTGGGCACTCTGGATGGAGACAGAGACACAGCTCACACTCTGGCCAGAGACATAGCTCAGTTGCACTCTGGATGGACACAGCTGGGACACTCTGGCCAAAAGACACAGCCACAGCTGTCACACTCTGGATGGAGACAGACACAGCTCAGTTGCACTCTGGCCAGAGACATAGCTCAGTTGCACTCTGGATAAAGACAAAGACACAGCTGGGTCACACTCTGGCCAAAGACAGAGCCACAGCTGAGTCACACTCTGGATGGAGACACAGACACAGCTCAGTTGTAGCTCTCTGGCCAGAGACATAGCTCAGTTGCACTCTGGATAAAGACAAAGACACAGCTGGGTCACACTCTGGCCAAAGACAGAGCCACAGCTGAGTCACACTCTGGATGGAGACAGAGACACAGCTCAGTTGTACTCTGGCCAGAGACATAGCTCAGTTGCACTCTGGATGACAAAGACAAAGACAAAAAGTCACACAGATGGGTCACACTCTGGCCCAAAGACAGAGCCACAGCTGGGAGCCAAAGACAGCCACAGCTGGATGGATGGAGACAGACACAGCTCAGTTGTACTCTGGCCAGAGACATAGCTCAGTTGCACTCTGGATAAAGACAAAGACACAGCTGGGTCACACTCTGGCCAAAGACAGAGCCACAGCTGAGTCACACTCTGGATGGAGACAGAGACACAGCTCAGTTGTACTCTGGCCAGAGACATAGCTCAGTTGCACTCTGGATAAAGACAAAGACACAGCTGGGTCACACTCTGGCCAAAGACAGAGCCAAAGCTGTCACACTCTGGATGGAGACAGAGACACAGCTCAGTTGTACTCTGGCCAGAGACATAGCTCAGTTGCACTCTGGATAAAGACAAAGACACAGCTGGGTCACACTCTGGCCAAAGACAGAGCCACAGCTGAGTCGCACTCTGGATGGAGACAGAGACACAGCTCAGTTGTACTCTGGCCAGAGACAGCTCAGTTGCACTCTGGATAAAGACAAAGACACAGCTGGGTCACACTCTGGCCAAAGACAGAGCCACAGCTGAGTCCAGATGGAGACAGAGACACAGCTCAGTTGTACCTCTGGCCAGAGACATAGCTCAGTTGCACTCTGGATAAAGACAAAGACACAGCTGGGTCACACTCTGGCCAAAGACAGAGCCACAGCTGAGTCACACTCTGGATGGAGACAGAGACACAGCTCAGTTGTACTCTGGCCAGAGACATAGCTCAGTTGCACTCTGGATAAAGACAAAGACACAGCTGGGTCACACTCTGGCCAAAAGACAGAGCCACAGCTGAGTCACACTCTGGATGGAGACAGAGACACAGCTCAGTTGTACTCTGGCCAGAGACATAGCTCAGTTGCACTCTGGATAAAGACAAAGACACAGCTGGGTCACACTCTGGCCAAAGACAGAGCCACAGCTGAGTCACACTCTGGATGGAGACAGAGACACAGCTCAGTTGTACTCTGGCCAGAGACATAGCTCAGTTGCACTCTGGATAAAGACAAAGACACAGCTGGGTCACACTCTGGCCAAAGACAGAGCCACAGCTGAGTCACACTCTGGATGGAGACAGAGACACAGCTCAGTTGTACTCTGGCCAGAGACATAGCTCAGTTGCACTCTGGATAAAGACAAAGACACAGCTGGGTCACACTCTGGCCAAAGACAGAGCCACAGCTGAGTCACACTCTGGATGGAGACAGAGACACAGCTCAGTTGTACTCTGGCCAGAGACATAGCTCAGTTGCACTCTGGATAAAGACAAAGACACAGCTGGGTCACACTCTGGCCAAAGACAGAGCCACAGCTGAGTCACACTCTGGATGGAGACAGAGACACAGCTCAGTTGTACTCTGGCCAGAGACATAGCTCAGTTGCACTCTGGATAAAGACAAAGACACAGCTGGGTCGCTCTGGCCAAAGACAGAGCCACAGCTGAGTCACACTCTGGATGGAGACAGAGACACACAGTTGTACTCTCAGAGACATAGCTCAGTTGCACTCTGGATAAAGACAAAGACACATAGCTCTGGCCAAAGACAGAGTTGCACTCTGGATAAAGACAAACACACTCAGTTGACTCACACTCTGGCTCAGTTGCACAGACAAAGACAGAGCCAAAGACAGAGCTGAGCTGAGTCACTCTGGATGGAGACAGAGACACAGCTCAGTTGTACTCTGGCAAAGAGACATAGCTCAGTTGCACTCTGGATAAAGACAAAAGACACAGCTGGGTCACACTCTGGCCAAAGACAGAGCCACAGCTGAGTCACACTCTGGATGGAGACAGAGACACAGCTCAGTTGTACTCTGGCCAGAGACATAGCTCAGTTGCACTCTGGATAAAGACAAAGACACAGCTGGGTCACACTCTGGCCAAAGACAGAGCCACAGCTGAGTCACACTCTGGATGGAGACAGAGACACAGCTCAGTTGTACTCTGGCCAGAGACATAGCTCAGTTGCACTCTGGATAAAGACAAAGACACAGCTGGGTCGCACTCTGGCCAAAGACAGAGCCACAGCTGAGTCACACTCTGGATGGAGACAGAGACACAGCTCAGTTGTACTCTGGCCAGAGACATAGCTCAGTTGCACTCTGGATAAAGACAAAGACACAGCTGGGTCGCACTCTGGCCAAAGACAGAGCCACAGCTGAGTCACACTCTGGATGGAGACAGAGACACAGCTCAGTTGTACTCTGGCCAGAGACATAGCTCAGTTGCACTCTGGATAAAGACAAAGACACAGCTGGGTCACACTCTGGCCAAAGACAGAGCCACAGCTGAGTCACACTCTGGATGGAGACAGAGACACAGCTCAGTTGTACTCTGGCCAGAGACATAGCTCAGTTGCACTCTGGATAAAGACAAAGACACAGCTGGGTCGCACTCTGGCCAAAGACAGAGCCACAGCTGAGTCACACTCTGGATGGAGACAGAGACACAGCTCAGTTGTACTCTGGCCAGAGACATAGCTCAGTTGCACTCTGGATAAAGACAAAGACACAGCTGGGTGGCACTCTGGCCAAAGACAGAGCCACAGCTGAGTCACACTCTGGATGGAGACAGAGACACAGCTCAGTTGTACTCTGGCCAGAGACATAGCTCAGTTGCACTCTGGATAAAGACAAAGCTGGGTCACACTCTGGCCAAAGTCACACTCTGGATGGAGACAGAGACACAGCTCTGGTTGTACTGGATGGCCAGAGACATAGCTCAGTTGCACTCTGGATCTGGACAAAGACACAGCTGGGTCGTCACACTCTGGCCAAAGACAGAGCCACAGCTGAGTCACACTCTGGATGGAGACAGAGACACAGCTCAGTTGTACTCTGGCCAGAGACATAGCTCAGTTGCACTCTGGATAAAGACAAAGACACAGCTGGGTCACACTCTGGCCAAAGACAGAGCCAAAGCTGAGTCACACTCTGGATGGAGACAGAGACACAGCTCAGTTGTACTCTGGCCAGAGACATAGCTCAGTTGCACTCTGGATAAAGACAAAGACACAGCTGGGTCACACTCTGGCCAAAGACAGAGCCACAGCTGAGAGATAATAATCCTACCTGGCCTGGGCTGAAAAAATGATTTTCTAATCAAAGCTTAGATATGGCACAATGCTGAAAATATGGAACACCCAGTGAGGATCGAACTCACTACTCAGTTGTAATTGTTCTAAGAAGACCAGCTTGCTAACCATTACACCACACAGAGGTGCCAAACTCCTTACCTGGTATAGGCAAATGTTTCAACTGCTAGTTAGATAATGTTCTGGTATGTTTTGAATTTGTATAATTAATGTACACATTTGGCACAATGTCTCTCAGCAAAATTTATTTTATTTTCTTCTCACCTCTAAGCACAGAATTTGATTTTTCTCTGTTTTCTTCAAGATATTTGCTTCTTTTCCAATAATGGTTGTAATTCAAACATTTTTTCATGTACTTGCAATATTTTCTCTTTCTCTCAACACAAGAAACCAGTAGTCACAAAGCCTGAATATGAAGGTAGCCATGTCTGATCCACCTCCAGTACATCATCCACAAAATTTTCAATTCTTATTTAGGGAATAAAATATGCTGATACCCTACAGTGAGAAAGAATTATTGATGCCTAAAGCCCTCTCCACTCCAGAAGCACATCTTAGTAATTATCAGGACTTGAGGTTAGAAAAGAAAATATAAACCAATAAAATGAATTACTAAAAGTTCACCTTGGAATTTCTACCTGTCTATTCCTGTACACACACACTCAATTTATTATTACCTAGAAGGAAACTGGATTCCTTATGCTGACAGGGTCCAGAGTAGACCACCAACTTTAAACAGAATTAGCTTGCTTGTCAAAAGAATAAAAGAATAAGCAGCTTTGCTAGAATCGCTGTGTGTCATGTCTCTTGTGCCCAGTCATGTTCCAAATGAAAAACAAATGGCAGGATAGGTGAAGAGTAATTACTGTAAGGCAATCCTTCTCCATCCGAATCTTTTACGACTGACATTGATGGAGAAATTAATGTAAAGTTTGTTTACATAGAATTAATGGGTGAAAACAATAGTTATTAAATGTCTGCTTTTTAGCTGACTGATTCTTCTTCTGTATGTAGTCACATGTAGAGACACATCACTCTTTGAGCATGTATCTATGTATATATTAGCTTCTATGCATGAGTTGAGAAGTTATATGCACACATGCACACATGCATACATGTATATACATATACACTTCGAACATTGGTATATGTATATTTATTAATACATATATATATATATATATGTGAACAAATATAGTTTTAAGGTATGCTATATTTATGGGATAAAGTGCTCAATATCAGAGATAGAACGTATGTAAATATAAAAGTTAACATTGATGTCAACACTCAGAGGCGACAGACTGTTCCATGATAAATGCAATCATCAGGCCAAGCAATCATCATGTGGTCTGATGATTGTGTTTAGCATGAAACAGTCTGTCGCCTCTGAGTGTTGACTTTAATGTTCACTTTTGATATATATATATATATATATATATATATATATATATATAAAAAAAAAAGTTCACTTATCTGTCCCTACTCTGAGCTTTGCAGAAATTATATCTGGACTCAACTTAATATAAGGTGTAAACAAAACAGTGCTGAATATGATTAGACACACCTCAGAAATATATATTAATAAATATACATATACACTTCGACCATTGGTATATATATATATATATATATATATATATATATATATATATGAACAAATATAATTTTAAGGTGTGCTATATTTATGGAATAAAGTGCTCAATATCAGAGATAGAGCCTATGTAAATATAAAAGTTAACATTGAAGTTAACACTCAGACTGTTTCATGATAAATGCAATCATCAGGCCACCTGATGATTGCCTGATGATTGCATTTATTTATATATGTAAAAAGTTCAGATATAATGTCATGTTATTTAAAAAATATATAATACATAAATTTATCCAATAATAAAATAATTTAAATATTAATTGCATAAAAAAGATTCAACATCATTTACTTGTTTTCGTTTATTGACATTAAATCATATCACATGACATCCTACATATGTCTTATCACATTTAATTTATTTTGCTTTTTTTATTTATTTTCCTTTTGTCTTTATTCAGATGTGTGTGTGTGTGTGTGTGTGTGTGTGTGTGTGTGTGTGTGTGTGTGTGTGTAAGGTGTATTTCAGCAGCAATAATTTTTTCAAATATGTTTGCTTAAATAATATTGACTCATTCTGTCTATCAATTTTTTATTAAATTTTTCAAATTTCTGATTTAGCTGTTTTATGTTATTGGTAAATTTGCCAAACTTCATATTTATTCGCATTTTATATTATTTAATCATATAAAATATTAGTGCAATATATTTAAGTTAGTTTTATACTTTATTATGATATAATGTTTAACAAGCAGAGCTTACAAATTACTATTACTACTGAGTAACAAGTGTTCCATACCTGTGGCCTTATGACAAAATGAAGTTATGCATTGTAAATAATGATATATATGTATATATTAACTTTGTAGGAAATCCTGATGAGAATTTAATTCCCACAACATAGCTTTACATTGTTTCTCTTTCAGATTCTGTGTCAATAAGTTCAGGTTTTTGTGTATGTATGTTTATATCATATGTTTAATATATACCTTTTATATGTGTTAGTAAATCTGTCTATACAAGGAATATAAATTAAATGTGATATGACGTATATGTGTGTATCTCTTTTTCAATATTGTATTTAAAATTTCCTGTCTGATTCAATGAATAATTGCATTTTAATTGTCTTTAGCAATGTGAAGTATTTATCTGTGCATAATTAAATGTGACTCAACATGTGAATAAAGATTCTGTTTTTCCACGAATTTAATTAAATTTATTTTTGTTTCCTGGATATTATGTTTTGTTTTTGTACATTCCAATGCAATCAGTTGATGCATTGGTCTGCAAAAATAAATTTTCATCATTTTAACTCACTTTAGTAAACTTGGATTATAAATTAGCATTTTATATCATGTGTATGCATGCATTTGAGCAAATGTGTATTTTGCAATAATGCACACATATATGTGTGTATGTGTGTGTTTGGAATCTATTAGCTTTTTCTCTATGTGCTATGTCCTTTCAGTGCATCAGTAATGATGCCTCTCTACAGCTTCCAATTTTTCATTCACACCAGTAACAAATAGTTAAAACTTAATGTATTACTCTCCAACTTCTGCAATTAATTTTCATTTCCATTCCTACCTTATATCTTAATTTATATAAGTAATTAAAAATGATATTAGTTTTTCTCGTTTCTTGTACAGTTCTTGGTTCATTGCCTTCATAAAATTCTCACTTTAGAGC